GTCTATTGTGGATGCGTTTGAACACACAAGCAGTTACACTATGAATTCAATATAGTCAAATAGGTTTTTAAAGTTGAAGGTGGATACTCAGCATTTCAGACCCTGTTTACCTCTATACTTTGCATCATCTTACTATAACCAGATTGATTATGCGGTTTTATTAGACGTTTTGGTTTGGCATAGCAGGCCAACGTCCTTGTCATATAAACCAATGTAGATATTGCATAAAACAGAGTTCCACAAAGTGCAGATTTGCAGATTTGCTGAGCAGATTCCAATCTAGGCTGCGTTTCTGAAAACCAGTGTTAGCCATCTAAGGTTGCAAGTTCTGTTACAAACTTAGTGTGTAATTTGGCATTTCCCAAATCCATCGTTCAAATAGACATTTGCAATCTGCGTGGCATACTTGTACATTTTCAACTACACCTCTAGAGCTGTAGTTAGAAGCATAGTTCCTGGTTGTGTTCTATTCCCAGTTATCCCTCAATTGCCCTATTAATTTAGAACGCCCCATTTAAACTCGCAATGATTAAAATAAAAAATCGAAAACAAATTACCCGTAAAGGAGACGGCTTCAAAGTATTTTTACAGTTCAGTTTCAGCTAACCTCATTTTGACAATTGCGTTTCCTTCGCAGTAAATTTACATTTATGCAATTTGAACGCAGCTGTGGCTGATGATGAACATAGGTGACCTAATATTTAAAAGTGAAATTTATGTCTCCAAAGCTTGTGGAATCAAATATATAGCATATGTTAATGCTTTTCATTTATGGTAGGTTATTAATAAAGGAATGTGTGTCTATTGTAGCCCTATTTGACATGGGCCAGTTGGTTAGAACATTTCTGCAGTGGTTTGGATGTCAATTTTTAAAAGTAGAATTAAAATAATAATAACAATAATAATAATAATAATTAGGATTTTTTTTATTCTAATAAATTGCCCACGATAAATTTCAACCATTAGCCTAACAATTTATAAGATTTATATATGAAATTAGAATATGTATTAGCTAAGTGGTTTTATGTTTTACCTAGAAATATGGAATATTCTCAATATTACTAAAGGAAACATAGGCTCTAAATGTACCGTTTACATGTATTTAGATTAATATGGAAAACGAGTATGGGTTTTTTCTCTGAAGAAGTTGTTACTCCTCTACTGTTTAAAGCATCATTATGGGAATTTACGTTATAACTAATGTGGTTTACACAATTGTTCTGCGAAAAATCAACTACGGTTTTGAGAAACATTCGTCAGTACATCGTTCTTTTGCCAAACCATGCATGGTACTATGATAGTTCTGCCATGAGTTGAATCGGTGTTTGGGAAACCACCCTAGATAAAGTATCAAGTATATGTCCATTTCATTGATTAACCACATTTCTCTTAAAGGAATGAAAACTCTTGGTTCTTAAAACTTTAGGTGCATATCTGCTGAACATATGATGTCATTTCCTGCCCTTAGGTTTTCTCCGATGAGCGTGGACCACATGAGCGGCATGTCTGGTGTAAACGTGCCTGGAAACTCTTCATCAGGCTGGTGCATCTTCATCTACAACTTGGGCCAGGACGCAGATGAGGGCATTCTGTGGCAGATGTTCGGGCCCTTCGGCGCAGTCACAAACGTCAAAGTTATCCGTGACTTCAACACCAACAAGTGCAAAGGATTTGGGTTTGTTACCATGACACACTACGAAGAGGCCGCCATGGCTATCGCCAGTCTCAACGGCTACCGTCTCGGGGACAAGATTTTACAAGTGTCATTCAAAACAAGCAAGTCGCACAAGTAGAAAGCAGGGTTTGCCTGCAAAATGAAGGAGAGAGGGGGGGAGGAAGGGAGGGTTTTTTCTGCGATGCCAGAGAAATTGGCAGTTTTGAAAAACTATTATTTTAGTGTATAATCAAGTCTTTGCAAATGTTCACGTTTTCTCAGTCTCGTTTAGACATCTGTTTGACAGGTTATTTTTGTTTCTTTTAAGATTTAAGCTGTTTGATGCTTCAAATTCAAGTGTTTTAGGTGTTCTGGTTAATCCCAATATTTGACCAATTTCGCATTTGATAAAAATTTGTCTCCGATGTTAGCCTGATATTGTTGCTACGTGCCATATGTGGTCGGACGCCTCATTCGCCAGATGCTGGATTTAAAACTTGAGATTTTAAGTTTTTTAATCTTTCGCCAGTATGTACATCCTACATTGTTCTTCAGTATCTACAATGCCTTAATTTGATGACGGTTGTCCTCTTTGCTCTCAATAATGTAGCACTTTTTGGTTTGGCAGGAAGCTCCTTGCTCATCTCACAACAGATCATTCGTTCATTAAAATCCGAGTTTTAAATCCAGCATGCTGAGTGTTTCACAGAAAAGAAGAGAGGCAGTGGTAAAGGAAGCCGAGTGTCTATGAAATGCCTGTTGTCAGTGAGGGGAAAGTCTTTAACTAACGTGTTACTTGTTTGTAAAGGGACCCTCTGAAAAGACTGATATCTTAGAAGGACCAAAGACATGAATGGAAAGTTTAGTTTCTCCCCGGCAGAGGTGCAGCTTGCACATCTCTGAGCATATTCCAAAAATATATTTGGACATCTAAATGCTAGGTACTGAGTATTTATGTAAAAATGTTATTACATTTGAGCATCAGCATCTTCTGTTTATGGTTTGCATTTTTTTTGTTTTGTTTTTCTCTAGAGTAAAACATACTTTGAGTTTAGTTTGGTTCTTTGAAAATAGATATACAGTACTAATGCGTATGCTTTTTAAGACTGCCTTGTGATTTAATTTTGTGTTGTTCCATTTAGTTTTTTTTTCTTTTTGTTAATTTTGCTTTTGTCTTTCCTTTTGAAATCTTTCTTTTTGTTTCACATGGCATTTACAATCATTAAATTTTATTTCGTTTTGCTCAACCTTTTTGTTTTGTTTCTTTTCTTTTAATTGGTTCTTTAATTTCTCCATTTCTACACAGCAAGTTTTCACACTTCCAGAGTTTTTACTCCAAGATCTCATCTAAAAATACACCATATATCATGAGTAGGAGACCGTTAGCGTTTGTTATTTTCAGGCATTGGACCAAATTGTAAATGTGTAACTTAGCTATATGACAACGGTTGATTTGATTTGGCCAATGGACTGCTTGCTATTTATTCGTAACATTTTTCAGAGGCTTTCGTCTCCTTAATTGAGCAGTGAAGGATGAAACCGGTCTACAGGTTCACTTTGTGTATGAAATTCACAATCTTACAGTTGTACAGTCGTGTTCCCCCTGAGGTCTTCCAAAATCCTGAGTAGTTTCTGTAGTAAGACACCCCACATCAATTTCCCAGGATGCCTCTTATGTCTGATTGATCATTTCAGCGCACAGTTCTTATGCTCCTGCTGCAAGACTTAAGGTTGGTATTATGTGTATGTGTGCGTATATTTATATTATCAGTGACTGACATTAATCCTAATTGTTTATTTGTACAGTGATGCACTATATATAAAAAAAATATATTATCTCGTCACGTTTGTAATAAGCAGCCGTTTACTATACTCTGATCAACCGGCATCATCTGTTACTTAATGGTTTATACAAACCTATTAGCAGCTTTACAGACACTGTTGGTTACACCACATTGATATTAAACACTTAACCTTGGCATTCTCTTCTTGTGCACATTTTGGCATATGTGCAATATTGAATAGTGATTACACGTAGTAAATATAGCAATCCTTTTCCCTGTGCATCTTTTTAATGTCAGAAAGGTTAAATCGGCCAATGTTTAAGAGGTGCCAGCTGTAAGAAATATCAGGTAGGATTTACTGGATGGTTGCTCGTTTTAAGCCTTAATTTATGTAGGAAAAGATGGAAGTTCTGAATGGTGGGATTATTTATTTAGCCTTTCATGTATGGTTCTATGTGTTTATATTGAGTGTCTTTATTTTTTAAGTAAATACTTTTTGGATTCTACAGTGAACATCTGTCATGAGCTGCTGTCTAACATGTAGTTGTGAAATAAAACAATGGGCATCATCACAAATATTGACATTTGTGTCTTGGTTTTAGTGATCATTAGTAAATGTTGGAATTGTTCATTTTTGGTCCTTTTTTTTATTTGAGTTTTAGCAATTTTAATTTGGTGTTGGATGTATGAGCTAACCATAATATAAATCATTTACAGTATTGGAAAAAATTAAAACCAGTAGTCCAATGTTAAGTTTGAGATTTTATTATAAAAATAAACAAGTCACTTACAGCATACAGTTATAACTAAACGCTTTACCAGTAAAGTAAACAGGGACTGCATGCTCTAAGCAATATAAATACTGAAGAGACCCATCGCCCCTGTTTGTACAGTCATTACAAATAACTTTGTCACCATTCACACTGACAAGGCAACTGAATGTCCAGTTGAGCCCCAGTCCACCTACTAGTTGTGTAATGTTTTTCCATTTGGAAAGGGTTTATAATATTGTGGTCTAATTCTTTTAGTTGTACAGTCATTAACTATTGCATTTTAAGGCAATAGAAGATGAACGTTTAAAAAAAAAAAAAAAACATGTATGTGTGTGTGTGTGTGTGTGTATATATATATATATATATATATATATATATATATATATATATATATAAAATGTCAAAAGCACCAAAATGTCCTCATTTGTCAAGTTCACCCAAGGTGACTTTGAGGTAATGGTAACATTGGTGATGTAAAAATGGCACAAACGTGGAATGAAGAGGGAAGGTTTTAGTGAAGTCAAGGCAACTTCTGTTCCTGTGTGTTATCGTCTGTCAGCGGCTGTGTTCCATTCTAAAGGGTTCATCCCCATGCCATGTTTCCTTCGAAGGGGTTTCGTTCCCAACTTGAGAGCTCTGTTGGCTGTAAGGGACTTAAAAAAACTGTATTGTGGAACTCTCTTATGTCATAAACCTGCGCAAACTATTCCTGAATCAAAAGTGCTTCACTTGTGCTCAAAGTTCTCAGTTTTTAAAGGGCCCTTTGAAGTGTTGAGCACTCACTTTAAAGTGCCCATTGGTAGTGTAACACTTCAGTATTTAGACTTGGCAAAGGTTGTAACAGGCGGTGGGCTTCTCAATCACCTGATCGCCGACAACCTCTAAAATGTAGTCCCTGTTGGCCAGCAGTGGAACCTCAGATGTGGGAAAACTCTGCACACTCTGGTTTCCAAAGGAGATCATCGTGTCTCTCTGTAAGCCAAAACACAGATGTTATGCAGTTGTCAAAACTAACACTTTTTCAAGAAGTGTGCGGTATTTACAATAATACTGTAATTATTTTCAAAGTGTGTGAGCTGACATTAAGTTTTGTTTCAAAAGTGAGAGCATGCACTGCTATTAGGATGTATAATTCAAGCTTAATATATACTTTTTTTTTTTCTTTTCTTTCTTTATGGTGAAGATAATTTGTATAACACTAGCAATTATTTTCCCCAAATATCAGAATTTGATTCTTAATTAATGATTGGCAATGCCTCTTTTTAGGCATTTCATGATATAGTACTGATACATAGGCAAAATCATTGTACTTAAAGTCATAGTTCACCCAAAAATAATAATAATAATATTGTGATTTAAACTTTTTTGTTAAACACACATGGAAAATTACATTTTGAAGAAAGGTAATAAAACTAGTAAACATTGACATTTATCCAAAAAACAAATACCGCAAAAGTCCATGTACTATGGGATACAACATAATGATATGGAATCATCTTAATTTTGTATAACAAAAGTAAACAAGTGAAAGGCGAGTAAATGATGGCAGAACTTTAAGGTTTGGGGGAACTATTCCTTTAAAAGCATCTTCTTAAATACAGTATTTAATATTTTCTTGACTAACAAGCTTTCAATTAATTTCTTTTGTAATAGTTTCCTATCATAGAAAATGCCATCATTTTAAAATAGAAATCAGTTTTAAAGGTATAAATACTTAAAAAAAAAATGCTTGTCAATATCGATTCAGTGATCCATTCATAGATACTTTGCTTAATTTTTAAACCCATCATGAATATATGTTTCAATGAATCACTCATTAAGATGGAGACTGCCATACCCAACCAACTGCTGGTTTCAGTATTATATTTATCAATGACAGTTTTTAAACATAAATGATGATATCGCACACCTCTACTGGAAAGCCACTAATGCATGTTTTTCTTCCACAAAAATGAGCACATGAATATATCTTACTCTCTCAGAGTTGCCCGATGATGGCATGTCTTTCTGGAAGTCCTTTCTGCACACATGAGCCATGATTCCTGCAGCTAAAGCATCTCCAAGCACATTGATCATTGTTCGAAATCGGTCCCTAAAGAGAGAAAAAAAAGATGTATGAGATTTTTGACAGCTATTACTGCTGTGGTGTATATAATCAGTTGTAAATCTGGAGTGTGTACATGTATTAACTGCACTTACAGGATCCAGTCGATGGCCACAATGAGCGAGATGTCATCTGGAGGCAAACCCACTGAAGTGAGGACGATAACCATTGTGACGAGACCAGCCTGAGGGATTCCAGCTGCTCCGATGCTTGCTGCTGTAGCTGTGATACTGAGAGAAGACAACCAAAGTCAAGTACGTTCAGCTTTATATGCCAATACACACTGTTTCAGAAATGTTGAAGTGTTTGAAATTTTGTAAATGTTTCTTTAAGAAGTCTCTTATGCTTTTACGGTTACCAGCATTCTTCAAGGAAAACTCATGATGGTTTTGAACACTCGCGGGGGAGTAAATTATAAATGAATTAATTCTTGGGAGAACTTTTCCTAAAGTGTATCAAAACCATTCATCAAAGTTGTTCTAAAACTATTGAACAACACCCATTCGTCTTAGGACAATTTTAATAACTTTTCTTAAACCACGTCAAATATTGACTACTGTATAGTTAACAATAAAACAAGAACAGTAAAATAAAGTATTATTGTTTTTTTTTTTTATCCAACCAAAGCTGTTTTGTTTAGCTTAAGAGACTTTTTAAATGCCATTATTCCAGTTTTAGTATTGTGTATTGTCCTTTATATAACAGAAATACTTACCTAATAGTCACAAGTTGTCCAAAGTCAAGCTCATACTCGTTGACCTGTGCAATGAAGATAGCTGCCACTGCCTCATACAGCGCTGTGCCATCCATGTTGATAGTAGCACCCACAGGAAGTACAAATCGAGCAATTTTACGATCCACGTGGCAGTTTTCTAGTAAACACTTCATGGTAATGGGCAGAGTAGCTGAACTGGAGAAAGAACGAGCACTTAAGTATACAATACAGTTTTTAATAATAAAAATATTAGTCGTTCAAATGACACAATTAGAAATCTAAAGAGTGAAATAACTTTGTTTTGTGGTACATTTCGAAGAGGTAGTTGACCTTTTCAACACAAAAGAAAATATTTTGAAGAATGTTAGAAACAGTTTCTAAAGTTTTTCTGTTTTTTAGTTCAAATATTCAAAAATTCTATGGACAAGCAAAAAATACTTTTTTTTTCAAAAATATTGTCAAAATTAAGTGAGTTTTCCTTAAACCAGTGGTCACCAAACTTGTTCCTGGAGGGCCGGTGTCCTGCAGATTTTAGCTCCAACCCTAATCAAAAACACCTAAACAAGCTAATCAAGGTCTTACTAGGTATACTTGAAACATCCAGGCAGGTGTGTTGAGGCAAGTTGGAGCTAAACCCTGCAGGGACACCGGCCCTCCTGTGACCCCTGCCTTAAAAAAGCAGAATAATCTTGTTTTTGCTTTGAAATAAGATTATTTTGCTTGTTTTTTAAAAAAAATAATAATAATTTAATTTTAACATTATTTTTGATTATTTTTTTTTTTTTGCTTGTCTAGAAAATGCTACTTAACATTTTTTACATATTTGGACTAGAAAAAATACAAGCTCTAAGTAAGAAAGCCATTGACTTGCACAGTATTTCCCAATACTGATATCAGTGGCTACTGGTTTTCAACATTCTTCAGAATATCTTCTTTTCTATTTTATAGAAGGAGCCCAAACAGTTTTGGAACCACTTGAGTGTGAGTAAATATAAACATTTTTTTTTTATTTAACTTGATTTAATTTGATTCAATTGGACTACTCCCTGAAATAGATCACAGATTAGCGTTGATGTTGCAATGGCATAAAAGACTGTTCAAAATGGTTTCCTTACCTGGATGAAGTTGCCAAGGCGATAACCAGCGCCTGGAGGAGGCCACGAATGTAGCTAAAGGGGTTTTTCCTGGTGAACACGAAAAAAAACAGCGGCAGCAAAATCACACCGTGGACGAATAGGCCTGCCAGAACAGTGATGAAGTACATGCCCAGCTTCTCCGCAAGGACTGCAGGGTCGTGCATGTCCAAGATCTTTCCAGCAACCAGGAATACGATTCCAAATGGGAAATACCTGTATAAAGCAATGAAGTTTGCTTATTGAAGGTGCATGCTGTAGATCAAGAGTTAAAATACATTACTGACGCACTAAATCAGCTTTTCAGTTGACCTGCCAACATCATGGAGGAGGCTTAGAGCTGCTTTTAAACTTTTCCACAGACTTATTTTAGAGGCTATTAAAAAGACAGCTGACTCTTTCATTTGTTTTGGTCTGGGGTTCTGCTTTTCTTTTATAGAAAAGGTAGATTTGTTTGTTTTATAAGTGATATAAACCTTCACTACGATGTTGTTTCAAAGAGTTTGTTCACTCTTGGAACACAAATAAAGATCTTTTTAATGAAATTGGAGACGCTTCTGACTGCATTCAAGTAGTCCATGTCAGACCAGTGACCAAACCAAACCCTGCTTAGCATTAAAAAACAGGCTTTATTCACCAATTTCTTTACATCTGCATGTTAATGGTAGTTGTTCCAAGATGCACTTTATTGTTTGATAGCTGAAAAATAAGAGAGCTGTGTTCCAGCATAGTTATTATTCTTCATTGACGGCATTTTAGGGTTTTTTATGTGCTAAAATGTACTTTTTTCAATGCCAGAACTGAGAGAAATTTCACAGATATCTCCAGATGAAGGTTTCCATTTCACACATTTCTAGTAAATGGTTGTTGTTTTGGATGTTAGTTTGTGTTTCGACGTGACAAGCAAATTATTGTATTGCTCATGTATCAACACAACATTGTGGCGTTCTCGTGAATGCGTGTCAAAGATTGATATGGAAATAAAGAAATTGGTAAATACAATCATTGTTGCTATTAATTTTTCCACACAAAAAGTATTCCTTTCTTAAAATTAAGGTAAAACCAAAAAAACTATTTAAGGTTGAACCAATGGAATCACATGGACTACTTCAATGTGACACCAATCTCTCAGATTTAATTACAAATTCTTCATTTGTATTCTGAAGTTGAATGAACTTGAGGGTGATTAATTAATGAGCGAAGTTTATTCATTTTGGGCAAACTGATTGACTTCTACTTACCACATAGCAGCATTGATGATCTTCATGACACATTCATTAATGCAAAGACACACATTAACCAGGGGTGACCCTCTGGATCCCATTCTGCCAAGCAGAAGACCTGGGGAGCAAAAAATAAATACAAAATAAGAATGAAAACTTTGTTTCAGTAAGTTTTTTATGCTTGCTCCCATTAAGTACCCAGTCATATGACAATCCAAAATCCTGAAAAATGTGTCACTTTTGCCATATTATATTAAGCAATTTCAGGGACCAATGAGCAGGTGAAATTGAAGACTTGAAGTAATGACCATCATAAATTATATTAAAATAGAAAACAGTTGGTAAACATGACTTCAATTGCAGCCATGTTGAAAACATAAAAAGCACAAATCCTAAGCGTTTGAACACGTCACAGATTATTTATTTAATACAAATTATCTTATTTTTTTATTTACTTAATTAAAAATTCATATATTTTAATCTTGATCATTTCAGCTGGCTTTTTATGCTTTCTGCTTTCCCTTTAAATATCCGGCTTCAGTAAAAACTCTTTCTTGTTGACAAACAATTGTTATTGTACAATATATCTGTGATTCTTTGCTGAAATAATTAACACTACAAATTTAAAGTTGTTATCATTATTTAGTCGCCCTCGACTTGTTCCTAATCTCAGTTTCTTTCTTACACTGAATACAGGAATATTTGTATGGATGTCAGCGGGACCATCAACTATTTAGGTTACTGTTATGTTCCTCAAAACCATCTTTCAACACACATAGTTTGACAACAACTTGAAGGTGAGTGAATTTTAATTACGATCTTTGGGCAAACTACGCCATGTTTGTTTAGTTAAAAGAACAAATCAATTTGATTGTCAAAAGCCATTTGACATACACATGTTGATGTCATTTTGACCTCCAAAATAACTTGTATAATATAGGAAATGTTTGATTAATCTAAAAGCTAAAATATCAAATGTGCATGTAAGTGCATGTAAACTAACTTGATGTCAAAATGACATCAAAGTAATCAACTGACACCAAGTCGATTATCGTTTTTGATGTTGTTTTGAGATCAAGGTACCCACTAGTTGGTCTAAGCAGATCTTTTCAGCAGGGTAACAGAGATATGTGACATGCCAATATGTTTTCCGTCAATACACACCCATAGTGGCAGAGAAAATGACGATTCCTAGCACATTCATGCCATTGCTTTTTCCTGGTACGATCTTGTAGTGGATTTCAGGAGGAGGAGTGAGTTCCAGAAACACTGGGTGACCCATCTTGGGGTTTTCGTAGTCTGGCATGATGTACACAAAGTTGGCTTGAGAAGATTTTGCACTGTTTTTGAAATTAGGCACAAGCTCTGTCTTATACTGAAACAGAAAAACAAAGATGGATTAGATACAAACAAAGTAAGATGGTTAATTTCACTGTTTTTCATTTGTTTCTCTCACCTGCTGAAATGTGGCTTCAATTAGGTTGGATGGAATCATATTCCTGTTGGAGAAACACAAAATTTGTCACACAATGTTTTTTTAATCGGTTTATAATCATAGAAAATAGCAAGTCGTCCTGATTACATACTTTTAGCTTGTTTTTGGAGGTCAAAGAATGCCAAAATTAAACATTGTTTGTTTTTCCAGAATCAAGAGATTTAGGTTTTGTATAACACTGTATCCACAAAAAAAAGCCGGTTAGAATAAGTTAGCCTAAAGACTAGCAAAGGGCAAAGGCTACTGGCTAAAGCTTTATTTATAAAGTCCTATTGGCGTGTTGCTGACTGCAATCCAATTAAATCTGGTCCGGGGCTCAGGAGCATCTTTCGCACTTCAGAAATCCATGCCATTCACATCCTCTTGAGTGGCTCTATATATACCTAATTCCAATCCTTCTGTTCAGTGACGGGATGGTGCAAGAGGAAAGCTAAGCCTTGCTGCGCGAAAACAGTTATGTAACCTCAACTATTACTTAAACTGTTGAATAAAACTAAACGAACAGCTAAGACTTTGGTATTTTGATTGGTACATATAGCATTGTTTGTAATACACATAAGAAATTTAAAAAGATGTTACCTTCAATTGGATATGACTAGTTTGACAACTCATAAATATTGGTAATAGTAAATATTTCAAATATAATAGAAGTCTGTGTGTACTGTTAAGCAAAACAAGATAATCACTGAATCAGAACTTGATTTGAATTTTTCTTATCTTGAATTTTATTCATGGCTAATTGATTGGATTGTGTAAAGTATGCTAAATATTTCTTAATGCTAGTTAATATGCTAAAATATGTCTAAATAGCTATTTGGCTACTTGTTAGCGATATTCAAAATATTGTTTTATCTAAGTGAGCTTGAAGATAGTGAGTAGTGTAACATTCTGAACATTCTGAAGACAAATACTGATGAATAAGACCAAAAAAGATATTTTAGGAACAAAATCAAGGAATGTAAACAGTGGCCATTTTAAATTCATGTTGATTTGATGAGGACATAAGACGTGAAGAGATTCTTTGTATACATTTTTTCCCAACACAACACAGTCAGTAAACATTTTCTGTCTGGAAGTTAAACACATACAGTTCTTTTTGGTATAACTGGAGATACCTTCACCAACATATTTGAAATAACCAATGATATGTCTTTAAAAATGCAGAACATGTATTTATCAGGCCATAATAAGACTAAGAGTGTGTCCCAAATACTTTTATTGTGACCAAATATACAGGGCTGTCCCATATTGGTTAGTGTGAGTTCACCAAGACTAGCAAAGGCAACTATGCAACATTCCAATCAGATTTAAGGTATAAGTATACAGTTTATGTTAGGTATAGGTAGGCCCACACGGAATCTGCGCGCGGAGAATTCCGCAGATTTTCTGTAGAATTCCACAGATTTCTGCAGATTTTTAGCCCATCATTAATCCTGTTTTTTTTACTTGAGTAAATGTGTAAATCTGAATTTATTCAGTTTTTATTCAGTAATTTATTACTTTTTATTTCATATATTAAGGTTTTAGTTATGATACTCCTCTGGATACTCTCAAAATAATTTCGCAGAAATCCACAGATTTTTACCAAAATTCTTCGCAGAAATAGCAAAAAACGTCCGCAGACTCCGTCTGGCCCTGGGTATAGGTTTACACAGGGGGTGCAATAGACAGATTGCATGGTGTAGACGTGTTTTGCTGAGCTCCTCCACACCAACTTTCCAAATTAAAGAAATTAGCCATCTTTAACTTTAATTTCATAACTTTGCTTTCTAAATATCGTATTGAACTTGGTTTAACTACTCAGTCTACATTTTGATGCATGAGAACGCCTTTATAGCACTTGAAAGCCTCAAAAAGATCTGGTCAGTTAGCAGCCAGCATCGAGGAAGCTAACCCGACTATCAGCCAAACTGTCAACGAAGACATACCTCCAGGGTGGGAAAATATATTAAACATATATAAGTATAAGTTTACATTATGTTCTTCTATATCATTGTTAACCAACTATTAATGATTTGGGGAGTCATTTATAGATAGGTTTAGGAGTAGAGATTTGGTTTGGAATACGTTTTTGAACAGGAAATCATGTTCCAGGATCAACACAGATGTTAAAGCAGGAACATGTCCTACTTAGTTAAAATAGCTTCATTGGCCAGCAATGATTGGCAATCATATCACAGCACTTGAATAAAAGAATAAAGATTGAAATTACCATCCAATCACATTTCTATATCGATTAAGTTTCAGTTAGTGAAGGTGGGACCGGCGCTTTTTGGTGTCACACTTTGGTTGCAATGTTAGTGAAAGGAGATGAAGTAGTTTACGAATTACGAAAACAATTAGTGATAGTTATAGAAGCTATAAAAGATGTCTAAACATTAGGGTCGCTTTCTGAAATGTATCGCATCTCATATATTCACTGAATCAGTGTTTCAACCATGGATGGTGTCAATAATACATCTAGAAGACTGTCACATTTACCTCTGGAAAGCAGCTTATAATACGTAAAGATCGTTTGTGACAACATTAGTAAGCTTAGTTAGCTTATTTACACATTTAAGAGTATTCAAAAAGTACTACTACCTCCAGTGATTTACTTATGGACATTCTTTATTGCAATCCCATGATGCTATAAGAAATTGGCAGGAAAGCACCAGCTGATTCTGGTAAAACACCTAATGTACTACATGTGAATTTCATTTATATTACACACATGCACTCCATTCTGAATGCAGCCAAAGTGCAACTATTAATGATAAAGCCAATCGTGTTATTTTACCATATAAGAACAGTGTTCATTTGCTAAAGCAATCATATTCAGAAATTTGTTATCTCTAGTCTATTGTTAATTACACGCTCAGTACTCTATTTGAATCTTTTCGGCTAAAACCCAAGGTGCTGATATTAATGTAAAGTCACCTGATCAAGTCAAGCAGGGCATCGGCAGAGGTCATCACTGGCCCTCCCGCAGCTTTATGTCCCTCTTTTTCAGTGCCGGTTCCAGGATGAATGATGAGTACTAGAATTATGCCCACAATTACAGCGATGAAGGTAGTCCAGAGGTAATACGTGATGGTGAGAAGGCCCAAGCGTCCACTGGCCTTGGTGTCCATAGCAGACAAGCCAGACATTAAACTGAAAGAGAGTTTAAATCATTAAAAATCTGTATTTTTTACAAAAAATCTGCTGGATATTTCCATAATCTGTAAACGTCATCTACTCTGTTAGGTGTGAACAGTAGGAATAAGTAAAAAAATAATAATAATATTCCTCAGTTGGTAACACCTAAGTGTTTACATTATTTAAGCTTAATTTGCTGCATTCCAACTTAATTATTTCCCAAATCCCACAGGTAAAAACTTTATACTTTCAAACGTAGTGTTTTTAAGTATATATTGTTTTGTATATGTTTTATTCAGTTTTTTATGGCAACTACAAGTTCCTACAAAGATTCTAATGTAATTTCATTGTTTTTTTGTTGTTGTTTTTTTTAAGTATGCATACATTGTAAGCCCTATAATATATTCCCTATACAAAAAAAAATCTGAATCTACTATTCATTCAGAGGGGTTTAAAACTGATGAAATTTAAAAGTTTAATATTTATCATGATATAACTTTCTGATATATGATAGCGTGCTGGTTTCTCAAAATGATCTAAAAGATGCTTGGCCTCAGGAACGCCACCATCTATAATGAATGTGAAGGACAGACGTGGTTTGTAGTTACCTGGATGTGATGAGAGGAAGAATCAACATTTTCAGCATTCTCATTAGAAGTTCTCCAGGAAAGGAAAAGTAGATTTTTGCCTGAGGGGAAAAGGAGAAACATGACTCTTAGCGACTTTGCTGCTGAAATATTTAAATTCACTTCGCTACTTTTAATGTTTACTATTTCAGTAATGTCCCTGGAGAATTACGTCAGTTGACTTTCTAAGTCTGTTTGTTCTTAGTTGACCTTGTAAGCTGAAGCAGAACTAAAACCAGTCTATATAATGTCTAAATGCTATATTCTCAAGCATGGGAATACATGTTTATACATGGCATTTTGATCTTATGTAAATGTAATCAACAATATCTCTTATTTAAAGTAACCGTGCTCCTTTAAAATAAAGCTAATCCCAGCTAACCACTTGCAGTATTTGGCATATAGACAATATTTTGTCTGTCATTCATGAGTTGCTAAAAACAATTTTGTATCATTTTAAAATAGAGATATTAAAAGCAAAAATGTGACGCAAGCAAATATTTTTTCCTCCTCGAATTTTGTCTTTTCATCAGTGTCACTTCTGATTATGACTTATTCTCCATGTAAACAGTTTTACTGGTATCATTGTGCATATCCTGCAAAGGTTTTATATGGAAAAAGTGCATATAACTTTGCATACACAAGATTAGTAACATTAGATTAGTAAACATTAGTGACACTGTCATAATAGACATGAATAATGTTAAGGTTTTGTGGCTATGGGAAACCTTTTTATGCTTTGTGCCATTCATTTCCAATTGAATTGAGTTACTGTGAACTTTTCAATTTATGTTTATTTATATTAACTTAGAACTTCTATGTTAAGCTGCTTTGACACAATCTACATTGTGTCAAAGCAGCTTAACATAGACATACTAACTAACATACTATCTAACTTTAACTTTTTTACAATTTGTATCTAAATGTCAAAGCTTTTAACCTTTCTTCTTTAGACTAGTTTTCTTGGTTGCAGGTAAAGTTTCAAACATTCCAAAATAACATCAGTCCACTTCTGATATTCTGATTTGTTCACTGACATGAATGTTAAAGATGCTTTTAAAATCGAGCCTTTAACATCTATCAAAGCTTTCTTTACAGTGAAAAAATGTTCTCAGATTATTCTTCATACTACGGAAAATATGGTTCTTTACAGATATTTTCACCAAAATGTTCTTTGGTTCCAACAAAATTTCTTCTGTGGCATCACTGTGAAAAAAACACTTCTTGATTTTCCTGCTTTACATTTTTAACCATGTTATAACTTTAAACGGTAGTTTAAGACTTTGGTTGCACTTTATTTTAATGTTCCCCTATAGTCTGTTAACTATAAGTAATTATGCAACTGGATGGCCCAACTATGTCTAAGAGTATTAGTAAAGTATTACTAGTTCTTTAAATTAGTGCATTAAAAAACTTATTTGAACCACTTCAATGAACCCTCCCTGGAATGTAAACATTCTAAGAATGTTTTAAAGGCTCCATTAAGCTCAAACAGAGAACAATTGTTGGTAAGATTTTATTTTGATGGTTCCTATTGCACATTTGGTTGACTAAAAGTTGTATTGCAACTACATGACAATTACTTGTCATTTGAGTATTAGTAGACTGCTTAATATCTGCTGAATCTACTCCTTCAACACGTTTCACTGACTATAAGAAACTTTGCTAGTACATGTCCACTTACAATAACCCTAACCCCAACCTAACGGTCTACTTATAATCTAATGAGAGTTAGTTGACCTGTAGATGCAATTTAACCTAAGTTCTGCAAAAATGAGTTAAAGGGACCATCAAAATAAAGTGATACCCAGTTGTTATTTTTTTAAGAAGTTGACGTATTTGAAAAGCTTTGAAGGAACCATCAAATATTAGCAATCTACTCATACCATGAATAGATAGTTACTTCATGTAATAACTTTTTTCTTCATAAAGGAATTAACAAACTCAAAGCTCCATTCCATGTTACCTGTGTTGACAAGTTCAAGCTCCTCAATGTGAATCCCACCACGCAGCCTGACATCACTGCTAGCACTGATAAGGTGAGCAGGCCGTTCCTTTTGCAGTAGTCCTTCAACCATTCACGAATCTTTTGAGATACCGAGTTCTTGACAATATTCTTAAAATATTCCACCATGTTTCTCCAGGGACTCGGAGGAGGGGAATGGCACTGGGAAGATGCCGGTCTTGAGCTACTCCGACTCTCATCCATCCTAAGACCTGTGTGGGCAGGATGTGTTTCCGAGAGCCTTTCGGTGTAAACCTTTTCTAACAACAGATTAAGTAATCAAGTATAGATCCAAACCACTACCTCCACGACAGCGCAGAGGCGATTACAAGGTATAAAGGTATTAAAAGAACCTAGTCTGAAAGCCATTGACTGTGGAAAGATAAAGTGGTGATGCATTAATCCTAGAGCGTAAGAGGCCAAGGTCAGGATGGGGTCTGCTTCAAAACGTATGTACTTACAAAAAGAAGGGTTTACAGTGAGTTGGCAGTTTTGGAAGAGGGTGCCACAGTGGCTCAGTAGTTAACACTGCTGCTTCACAGCAAAAAAGTCACGGGTTTGAGTTCTGGCTGGGCCAGTTGCCATTTCTGTGTGGAGTTTGCATGTTTGTGTGTGTGTGTGGATTTCCTTTGTGTGCTCGGGTTTCCCCCACAGTCCAAAGACATGCGCTATAGATGAATTGAGTTAACGAAATTGACTGTAGTGTATAAGATAGTGTATGGGTGTTTCCAAGCATGTTGCTGGGTTTTGGCTGAAAGGTCATCTGCTTCAAAAAACATATTATAGAGTAGTTGGTGGTTCATTCCGCTGTGGTGACCCCTGATTAAAAAAAAAGATTGTAATATATCAGGGATTAAGCCGAATGAAATTAATGTTTTTGAAAGCACAATGAAAGGTTGAAAAGGCAGTCCAGGAGAGAATGAAGTAGGACTATGCAAAAAGGTCAAACCTGCATTATCCAGATCAGCTGCTGAATATCTGGATCCAACACTGCTAACAAAAAGAAATTGTTATAAATTTTTTTTGCCAATATGTGACATTTATTAATTTCCAACGCAGCACAAAACTTTTAATTAAATAAAAAAATAAATGTTAAAAATGTAAGGTTACACTTTATTTTATTATGTCATGGTTGCAGTATGAATATTCATTTGAACACTGAGTAATATTAAATAATGACATGTACTTACTATATGATTGGGGTTAGAATGTGGGTTAGCTTTAGCGTTAGTAATTATGCATAATTCAATGTAACTACTATAGTAAGTGCATGCAAAGTGTTTAACTACATCACCTTAAAGGTGCAGTATCTTAGTTTGACACCCCGTGGTTAAACTCGGTATTGCACTACTGGATCGAAACAAATTCAAGTGCAGGTTGCCAGATTTAAAGAGCGAGTGATTTAAACCGTGTTCTAAAAAAAAAAAAGCAACAGCACCCAACAGAAGGAATATTTTCCATTTTAAAAGGAGTTTTTGTCCTAACCAACACCTCAAATTAATACATTAGACTAGGTCTCTATTTCTCACAGATGAACAATTGAAAACTGACAAAGATCACCTCAGGTAAACCTTATGTGCCTCATTCAGTGTTAAATGCTAATAATGTGAGTTTGAATGCTATTTTACATAACATTTATTGCCATACTATTGAAAGCAGCAGCAGATAGTTCACTTTAGATCTTGAAAATAAAATAAACCATTTGAAATTAAACTTATTAGCTGTGAAATAATGCAAACCAAACACACATCAGTGATTTAGAATTTAATAATGGTAAAGAGGTTTAATATGTTTTAAACAGATTATAAACCATATCATTTCATGAGTGAGTGGATATTCTGTGCTTCTGAATAGTTGCATTTAAATTTCTGTCGTGTTTCGTCTGGTGCAAAAAGCCAAATTACTTATTACGTATCTTGTCGTGAAGAGTGTTGTTAGGACACTGGGTTACAATGTAACTTCACCTGATGTTCACATTCGTAATATTTATAATATTTGCTAATTAATAACCACCTCATGTGAAAATCTGAGTCTCATTTCAGAGTCTGCTACGGTCCACCTGGAGGTCACATTTCGGTCACGGAATGCTTTCAAAGCCTTTCTAATGAATGAATGAATAAAGTACGCATTTTTCCACCAAGGAAACCCGGCGTGCTGAAATATCATTGGCTAAACTAGAATTGGGTGGGTTAACATTGCCAAAACAAAGACAGACTTTCCGGAACGAAAAATGAAAAAAATTTTTTAAAGAAGAATATCTGACTTTAGCATAAATCTGACTTTAGATAAGCAAGAATGTTCAACTAGCATGTTTCTTAAACATCTACAATCATATTATGGTATTTTCATGCTTTAGAAAAGTCAAAAACTTACAGCACCTTTATATCTTAAAGTATTATCAAATTTAATGCGCTAAATATATTAATATAATTTATTGATCCTTATTTTCACATTTATTTGGACTAACCACTGCACCATAGTTCCAGGTTATAAGAAAACAAGAAAAGTTGATAATATAATCAACATTATTAACAGACAAGTCAATCTTGGAAAATAAATAGAGTAAATAACACTATAATACCTTTTGGTTGAATATGAAATACTCTTCATCAGAAGCAGATTACAAAAGAATATACATACACCATATGGCAGAGTCTAAAAATTATTTCAGCTATGGGAAATTGATCTAGTCAACCTTCATTAAAGACAGTGATGTTATGATCATGTCAGTTTTGTAAACACATAGAATAGATATTTGTGGACAATGTATATTTAAATACATTTTATTGATTTTCACTTTAACAAAATATACACAAACACATATCAGATGTGACACACTGTACAACCCTACACTGTAAAAAGTAAAGGTGCATCAAATACCCTGTTGAGTACGCAAGGAACTTCCAAATGTATTTTAAGTGCCGCAAAGCTCTTTCTCTCAAAAAGGGGTTCCTCAACACTGAGGTTCTGGAGTCACTGCTTCCTTATACTAAGACCTTGGAGGACTTTGAAAGTTATTAGGGGAACTCCAATTCTAAAAAAAGAGTTACTGTAAGATATGTAAACTTGTATAATGGCTTCTGGTTGATCTCTCTGCTAAAAGCTCGCACTTAAAGGAACCAAGAGATTTTGTGACAATTAAATAGGACAAATGTAGAGAATAGGATGCATGTTCATTTACTTAAGATTTACTTAGTATTTTCTGCTTTTAGAATATGAAATTTGATGGGTTTTTTTTGTGGAACTCACTGTGAATACATAAGAATATAATTGATTAGAATCTAAATGTTAACTTGCTTGCAGTTAGGAGACTGACAGGGAAATTGTAAAAAAGTATGCAAGTAACTTTGGAGGGTAAAATAAAAATGAGCCACAGCAGAGGAAAAAAAAGACAAAAGGATGCATGCACAATTCTGAAAATTATTATAGGGGACTAATTACATTTTCTGTCGATTGACCTCATTAGACCCTTGATTTTGACATTTAAAACAACCATAATAATAATAAATAATAACAACAACTGCTGCAATAATCACATTATAATAATAAGATAGATGAATGGATGGATGGATAGATAGATAGATAGATAGATAGATAGATAGATAGATAGATAGATAGATAGATAGATAGATAGATAGATAGATAGATAGATAGATAGATAGATAGATAGATAGATAGATAGATAGATAGATGTTTTCAGTTTGTCTAATAAATTTATGATTAAACATGTTTGGATAAACAATAATTTTAAGAGGGATGGGGAAAAACGAGCATTAAAAATGAAATTGGGAAATGGTGCTTCAAAGCACTCAAGATGGTTCCTGGACATTCTTAATTAGAGGGTTTCTCCAGGAACCGCCCCTTTTGAAAGAGTGCCTAAGTGTTCTATAGAGGGTTCCGCTGGTGTGACAATGTTAAGAACCCAGAAAAGGTGCCTCCAGGAACCTTTCATTTGTGCAGTGTATACAATTCTACCACACAGAATACACAACCTGATGCATAAAACACTACAAAACTATTACACAACATTACAAAAATACAGAACAAAAGTAAAAAATATGGAGACTGTATAACCTATCTTGTTCTGTTCCAAATATATTTATTTCATTCATGATGACATAAGAAATCATGTTTTACCAAGATTTAGATACCAATAAAATTATATAACTGATTATGTCACATTTAAACCATACTGTTTCACTTCAGCTTTCTATTGTTTCTTTGTGTTTAAATAATGTTTAATTAAACTATGTAGCGCCATTAAAAGCTAATACAGGCTGTGCTGTGTCCAGTTGTTCTTTACCTCCAGCACTTCTAGCTCACATGGGAAAAGGATGTTCTTGTGTTTTTACAGCTTTGCATGGCTGCACTACTTTTACTCTGATAGCATGAGGTGGAGGCTATTCGGAGATGAAGGACATGCCCCTTATTAGTCCCAACGTCATGCCTTAATTGGATTTCTGCAGGTGGACTCAAAAGGCACTTCCGACACTAGCGCGTACAGCGGGTATTGGTTTAATTACCAGACAGAGGTGGAAGAACTCCAGTCCATGAAATCAAGGTTTGTTTTGGTTTTGGAAAATAAAAGAGCCTGGATGTATCATGCTTTTTATATTAATGGAAAAGTTTTCAATGATGGAAACAAACGGTAATTTTAAAATATTTTATTTTAAAGTGGAATATGCATGTTGATATAATGACAAACAGTTAAACAATCTATCAATTTGATTTATTCTTGCTCCAGAGACTGAATTAATGTCAGTAGACTGCATTAATAACTTACATATTAATAACTTTATATACTTAACACACACACACATACATATTCACAAACATGGATACCCCTTTAGCAGCTAAATCATCCAAATTTAAATTACTTAACACTTGCCAGCCACTTTATTAGAGATTTTGGTCTATATTGACATGATCGCATTACACAGCTGCTGCAGATTTGATAGGTGGACATCCATGATGCAAATCTCTCATTCCACCACATCTCAAATGTGCTCTATTGGATTGAGATCTGGTGATTTCATTGTCATGTTTAATAAACCAGTCTGAAATGATTTGTGTTTTATGACATAGCACACTATCCTGCTGGAAGTAGCCATCAGAAGATGGGTGCACTGTGGTCATAAAGA